ATTGGGGGCTTAGATAAGCTGTGATAATTTTTTTATGTATATTTTATATAGTGGCCAAGAAAAAAAAAACAGATCAATACAACACAGTGACGTATATTACCCCAATTGGATGTATGCCATACGCTTCTATAAATAAAAATATTCACTCGTCATTATGTTCAAATAAAACGTAACTGGTTTTAAGAATATCCTGATGAATCTGAATGAATCGGTGCATTCGTGTTGCAGCGATGCACCGGTGTTCGAATCCCAGGCGGGTACCAATTTTTCTAATGAAATACGTACTTAACAATTGTTCACGATTGACTTCCACGGTGAAGGAATAACATCGTGTAATAAAAATTAAACCCGCAAAATTATAATTTGCGTAGTTACTGGTGTTAGGACCTCTTGTGAGTCCGCGCGGGTAGGTACCACCACCCTGCCTATTTCTGCCGTGAAGCAGTAATGCGTTTCGGTTTGAAGGGTAGGGCGGCTGCCCTACCCTTCAAACCGGCTGTTGTAACTATACTTGAGACCTTAGAACTTATATCTCAAGGTAGGTGGCGCATTTAGGTTGTAGATGTCTATAGGCTCCAGTAACCACTTAACACCAGGTGGGCTGTAAGCTCATCCATCCATCTAAGCAATAAAAAAAAATCTCGGTCTTTTGACCAGTCTCATGGTCTGTAGTTTGTAAAAACTTCCGATTTTGTCCACCTAAATCATGAATCTTCTATATTTCATTATTTGAAACACAATACAATATTTGTTAAGCGCTAATTCGTATGGGGTCTATCCTTTTTAACCTTTCTGGTTATCTATGCCGATTAATTGGACCACAAATGTGTTGACCTAACCCACTTGGGTCACGAATACCTGACAATGGCTTGTTACATCATTGATATTAACTAGCATTCACGTGTGGTTACGTAGAAGGTGCAGGGATGTCACCTGCGCTAAAGGAGTACAAAGTTCTTTTTGTATTTGTTAAGTTAAAAAATCAAACTCATAAGACAAACAAAGATCATAAATTATTCACGCTTATTGGAACGACATTAATTTTTTAAGCAATGTCCAAAATAAAACATGAATTCAGATACTTTTAGGCATTTTCATTAGGGTTCCAAACAAATATATTATGTCATCCTGTACAAGACACAAAACAAAAAGTTTTATTTATAAGTGTCGCTTAGAATTTTTTGCACAGAATTAGTATAGACTTATTATTCAATTCCAGGATGGATTAGGTTTTTTTGTTGGCGACTACGTGATGCAACCGTACCGTCAGCACAAAGCTTGGGTTTTACAATCGCCTGACAAAAATACGCAAGTCTAGTGTAGTCTAGTCTCAATAATTTACCGTCGCCTCAGCTCCGAACCGGTGTAGGGAATTCTCAAACCAGCCGCGCTCCTTCAGCACCCGCCGGACGCCGTAAGATAAGGCGTCCACATCTCGATTTAAGCCTCGCGAGGAACCCTTACTATTCATAACGATCCATTTCAAAAATGGCCGTAAATGAAAAAAATGCAGCCATTCATTACATTTACACAGCTTAAGTAAGAAAAAAACAACGAAAGGAGTAATTGGGTGCATTCTTATTCACAAATACGAGACGAGAGCAAGAGTTTTGAAACATTAAAAAAAATTTTTTTTTTAATTTTCAGAGACACTGGAATCAGCATACTAAACATGTTTGAAGAATTATTAAACATTTGTAATGAAGCAATACTAAATACATTTCGGGAAGTCGAAAACTGAGCCGAACAGAGCGAATAATATCAACCGCTGCAAGTGTACTTGTTCGCTCACGCGGCCCGCACCAACTTGAAACCCCTTCAAGTCATTCAACCGTGTTTTTGCAGGATAGCCGTCGGAGCACCATGGTTTCTAAGGAACATAGATCTCCATGATGACCTGGAGATTGACTAAGTAAGTATCTACAGTCAGCATCATTGCGTATAAGATATCTTGACAATCTTATAAGACGCCGGATGCCCGTCTCGTGGCGATTACTCGTGCCGGTCCGGAGTAAAAAGTGCAGAGTCCTAAGGTGTACGATATCGCACAAGCTCACTCGAAATTAAACTCAGGTGTTTACCAATAACGCTTTATTTTCTCGTGTTTACTATGGCCTTATTTTCGCCTACAAAAAGCAATATACAATATCATAACATTATTTGCCTATAACCGGACACACAAGTCACGTGCAATATGTTTATTAAACGATATATTCCATACGACCCCTTTGTTCTTGGTCACGTGAATTATGTCATTACGTCACAACTAACCAATATTTCCGACGATTCAGCATGCGCGTGCATAAGCACAATCAGAACAAAATACATACTTCAAAACGTTATCGGAAATCTAGAAACTCAATCTACTTTATTCATCAATCAATTTTTTAAAAGCAAATGACACTTATATTGATAACAAAAACGAGCAGTGGAACCAAGCAGAACGTGATTTTTATATCATCTGTCATTGTTTGTAACGCAGAAACAACTTAAGTGGCTTGAACAGATTTACTCAATTCATACAGGTAGAAGTAGGTATATCATTGAGAATTAACTTGACGTTTATATCATTTTGATCGTCATTATGAAGTGACCTTTTTTTCGGGCAGGGGTCGAACTTCATACAAGGTATCCGCGCCTAAGTGTCACGCGGAGCATGTTGGACTTAATGATCTGCAGATGTTGGAAGCAGACCGCGGGCAAAAGGATATATTATAAAATGATCATATCTTGACCCCTACATAAAATTTCCCTCTTCAAGCCCGGATTATACTGGTGGTAGGATCTCTTGTGTATCCGCACGGTACCACCACCCTGCCTATTTCTGCCGTGAAGCAGTAAAGGGTTTCGGTTTGAAGGGTAGGGCAGCCGTTGTAACCATACTGAAACCTTAGAACTTATATCTCAAGATGGGTGGCGCATTTACGTTGTGGATGTCTGTGGGCTCCAATAACCACTTAACACCAGGTGGGCTGTGAGCTCGTACACACAACTAAGCAATAAAAAAAATACAAATATATAATACATACCAATACTATACCAAGCTATCCAAAATGTGTTATAAATTCAACGAACATGAATCGATTACAAGTTAATATAAAAGTGCAATGCACTCGGCATGTAACCTAATCTATTAAACTCAAACACATTATAAACACGTTGTACATATTGAATATTCAATGGAGTGACCAAATAAACTTTTGAAGCAATATGTTAATGAAATTAGTAATGTGAAGCCCCACTGAGTTTCTCGCCGGAACTTCTCAGTGGGTCGGGTTTCCGATCTAGTGGTAGATTCTGCGAAGCACTGCTCTTGCTAGGGCCAGTGTTAGCAACACCCAGTTTGAACCCCGTGAGCTCACTTACATGTTAAGGAGAAGCTGAAATAGCCTCTCAAGACTACCAGCATAGGTAGAGAAAAAAAAAGGAATGCGCTCGGATGATTGAGGTTAATTTCAAAAGACAATTAGAAAAATAAGGACCCATGTGTTTTTATTGTTATTGAAGGTGCAATGATGATAGTGATCTTTTTTCGGGGATGATGTTAAGTGGTTACTGGAGCCCATAGACATCTACAAGGTAAATGCGCCATCCACCTTGAGATATAAGTTCTAAGGTCTCACAGTATAGTTACAACGGCTTCCCTTCAAACCGAAAGGCATTACTGCTTCACGGCAAAAATAGGCAGTGTGGTGGTACCTACCCGTGCGAACTCACAAGAGGTCCTACTACCACTATTAATCTATCATATTTTGGCAACTATATACGTATGTATGTATATTAATAAGATGTAATTCATGGACACCGCTTATCATTGGATAATGACGCGATTCTCAGTTAATGTCATTTATAAATTCAATAAACATTTAATGTTCTTGTTTTGATTTTTTTTCTTTCAATCTATTTATTATGTAAAGATAAATTGACGCCATATTTATATAACATATAATATAAATATATATAATATTTATATTTATATAACACCTATATAACCTAAGTCAGGTCATAAGTATTGTCACACAGTAAAAACTTTTCTTTTAGAATGCTGGCAACAAAAAAGTTTATTGAATTCGATTTTCGAATTGTTCATGAAAATAAAAATGTATACTTTTGGAATTTTACTCATTTTTAAATATGGAGTGGACGCTTAAAGAAGACCGTGTTGCAGTTATTGCGTTGCATCGTTGCGGTTACGCGCCAATTCAAATTTTTAACATACTGAAAAATTTGAATATAACCAAAAGATTCGTTTATCGTACCATCAAACGATACAATGAAGACTCTAGTGTAAATGACAGGTCAAGAAGTGGTCGCCCTCGGTCTGTTAGGACTCCAGCAGTGATAAAAGNTATGCTATACTGTTGGATATTCTGACGTTTTAGTGACACGAATGTCTGAAACATATTTCAGTACGGTATCCAATCGGATGTAAAAGCATTGAATAATATAGTAAATAGATTGGTGTTACGATAACCTTTTGTCTGTAAATACCAACAAAACAGGAAGGGATAATTTATAAGACTACTTAAGTTAATAGATAAGCCTTTGGTATATATTAGAGTACATGGGACTAAAGTTACTATATTGGATCTGATCTGTATAGTACGATGAACAAGCCTCTGATTATGTATGGGCTGTGGCAAAGAACAAAGCTTGAGACATGTCAATCGTCCTTGAGGAAATTAAAGAGACTGGCTTGCATGATTATAACAAGTATCCCCTTTTGAGAACTCGGCCGATTGTAAATTAATATTATTGGCCAAATTACATCCTAAAACATAAATTTTATTTATAATCTTTGTTTTTCTAGGTATATTTTGTAAATTCAATTGTCAATTGAGAATGGCTCCATCGATTTTTGTTCTTTACGTTCGTAAATGTTAGAACAAATATTCCTAGAATTATTTAAAAATTTTATGAAATTAATCAGCAATATTTTCTTTATACATTTGCGGGTACTACTCGGTAATTTATAAAAAGATAATAATGAAAATAAAAAAGAAATCTGATCGATTTTATTTACATATTTAACAATATTAACTACACTTGTCTTCAATTATTTAGGCAGTAGCACTGATCCGATTTTCCCGTACTCTAAGGCGACGTTCCCGTTCAAATTCCTTCATACGTAAAACGTAACTGAAATTAAAAACATCGATGCATTAACAAAGTATACTAAAATATTTCATTTTATACATAGATTTAATTGTAAATCGGCAGGCTCCACAAGTTTTGTTGCTTGGTATAAGGGATGTTGGACAGTCGAACAAACTAAAGACTGCTATTTTTACACGATCCACGTCTGAGCCTCACGACAGAATTTGAGTGAGGCAGGCAAGAAAAGTAAAGCGTTAGGTGCGGAGATCATTACTTAAATTACACACGATTAGAGTTAACATTCAAATGTGCACTTAAGTTTGATGACAATACTAATTTATTCGAAGTCGCCGTGGCCTAATAGTCCGAGAGCTGGCACCAATTTTTATGTAGGTATTTGATGCAAGCTGAAAACTTGGTCCATACCTCTCCTGATACACCCTAACTCGGAACTACAGACCTGGCTGGTGAGTAGCGGTGCTAAATAAAGCCTTAATTATTTTTTTCAAAATATGTTTGAATATCACTTATTACAGTATACTGGGTGATCCATTGAACCACGACATGATACGAAAAACGTGTCTCAACGTGGGTGACACCATGGGCTCTGTTAACCATTTACACTAGGATAGTCCTGTCCATTTATAGTAACTTAAAAAAAGTAATTTGTTTAACCAAGATATTCCTTTTTTAGAAAATATGATACCCTGAAATCCTCCCAAAATTGTTACAATTTGTGAAATTTAATATTGAAATAATCATGTCCATAAGAATTTAAAAATACTAGAGGTGAAGTCTTATTGAGATTGAGCCACTTACTCTTGTTGTTCGCAATTCAAATAATTGTGTTTCTCATGGGCGCATCGATAAAGAAGCGGCATTTCTTTATAGCGACAAACTTGATAGTCCAGTAAATAGTGAGCACAGTAGTCTCTATATTTATTGGGTATACGAGCCGAAATAAGATCTTCTTCCTTAGCAATCATTTCTACAAAAAAGAAAACATATTCAAAATAGTAGAATAATATTTATTATACTAGTGACCTGCTCTCGCTTCAGTTCGGGAACTGTAATTTATTATTGATCTTATTGAATTTTCTTTTATACAATTTTGGTCTTGACAATAACAAACACAATAAAAAAGAATGTTATAAACAAAATATTTAATTTTTCCCCTTCATACTCATGGTTCACAATTTGGCCGGTAATTGCTTACACATTAAAGATAGATATATGCTGTCACAGGCTTTTTTGTAGGAAGATTTAAGATAAACATTTCCATCATATATATGGAATTGTTGGTAGTTGGCAGACTTCTTCATACTAATTTGATGCTTATCATTATACTTTAGATAATTCACATTGTATCTTTATAAATTATAGCCTGTGTTATTCTGGTGTGTTGTAAGCTACATTATTGTACAGTTTCATAGTATTAGTAGGACAGACAGTTTGTAAGTTTTTTGTCGTCTTTAGGCACCTATTCAGTTATTATTTTTGTAGACCTGAGATGTTTATTTATCATCTGGCTTTTCACATATCCTCCTGTGCTTCTTAAGCCCTTTACATTCCTTCCTTCAAACAAATTTTGTGGTGAATATTCAGCAGTACACAGTGGTTTGGCTGTGCTCCTGGCATTGCTGACATCCATGAGTAACAGTAACCACTCACCATCAGGTAAGCTGCATGCTCATTTGCCCACAAGGGCAATAAAAAAGAAACAAGAAATGATTGAGCTTATTTAAATCTTTTCTTGTCCTTACAGTAAGTCAGACAGTTTTCAGTAGTAAGTTTTAGAACACATCTCTTAGATCTCTCTGTATGCAAAATAGTGTATTTATTCATCATCTAAAAAAAATTGGAAGGTGTGGTTTATTAATGTATAATTTTCAGTAAATAGCACTTTTGCCACTTTAAATAAAACAACTTGTAAATGCTCACCCTAACATTACTTATTTCCATTTTATTATTGAATATTGCTAACTGGCAATTTTTTTATAGAAACAGCACTCCAATACTCACAAATAACAACTTTGTTTTTGTTGATGAACAAAATCTCAGAAGTAAAAGGATATGTAATATACACAAGGATAAACTGAAAGTAGTTTTAATTATAATTATGACTCAAGAAAGAGACAACTAAAAACTGTTTGATACTTGACAACTGTAAAGTAAATTTATTATAACATTTAAGATTACATCTTCAGTAGTCTTTAATCATAGATTCACTTTCTGGGACATATTCATCATGTTTTATTGAAATTAGAAGTGAGAAAATCAAGTTAGCAATTACTTGAGCTTTAAATATGACATTATTTAGCATGCATGTAAAGAAATTTAAAATTGGTGCCTAATTAAAATATTATTTTAACATCAAACAAAAATAACATTTCTTATCCGTTGTGTTTGAATCTGGACTGTCTAAGAAAGAATCTAACTTTTACAGCATTAATGTTGAGACAAGGTGTACAGACTGTAATGAAAATAATATTGAAGAGAAAGTTCATGGGCAGATTGGTAATGAGATTCTTCTTGAAGTTGAAAATTCTTAAGTTTAGCCTTTTATACCGATCATCCGCATGCAGAGTTATGAAGGCGAATATTATGTAGTAAAATTCTTACTAGGCCTCACTCACCGTATATCATAGAATTTACATAAACAGATATGCCTTCTATCAAGAAAATATTTAATTGGAATAAACTAAAATTCTTTATCTAATTTTAGCTTTGCGTTTAAATACGATTTTGTAAACAAAACATTATAACCTAGGATCATTATGTAACTACGTATGAAATCCTTTAATCCAATTTTAGTAATTTAAAGGTAAAACTTTATCTTTTAGTACGTGGGTTAAAGAATAATTGCTAATTATGCACAAAAAAATGTACCTCGTTGTTTTCTTTCGTATTGAAATCCAGCTTGAGGGTCAAAAGTAGGATTATCGTCTGAATTCAGGTCCACAGAGCGAGCATGATATCCTCCCATAATTTGCCCCATGGTGGTAATGTATAGAATTAAGTTGTCACCAGTTAAAATACTATTTTGTTATATTTATTGTAGTGTACGCTGTGTTTTAACACAAAAATCTTCAAACCGCAAGCATCAGCTGGGTTTAACTTTTAAGGAATTTTATGACCTGGTAACTGAGATCTTTAAGTCATGTCTTATTTTAATTTATATTATTCATATTTTTATGAAAAATGATATTATGGACTGAAATGAAATGAAAATGATTAATTTGAGACACTAATCAACTGGGATGAAATTAAATGAAATGAATTGAGATGATATGGGATGAAATATAATCTCAGTAAAATGGTGGTCATTTACAAGGATTTTTTCAGTGGACTTTTTGGAGGATCCCGAGAAGTTACGTCCAGCGGCTTTGTTTCTTTTTCCACATTTGTGCACTTTCACAGACATTAAACAGTTAATAAACCACCATTATTACACATTTAAACCTGAAGAAACACTAAATAGACAAAATAAGACAAATCACACAACTTCATTTGTTTAATTAATTATAAAAAAATAACAAACGAACCAACAATCTTTACAATCGAACATTAACGAACAAACAACGAACAAATAATAAAAAATAAAAAAATCCAAAAATAAAAAGGGGGTCAAATTTAGTGAGCCCTTTAGTACCACGTAGTAAGTTGTAATTACTATACTAATCTATGGTGTAAGCTGCGTAAACTGTGTTGTGGACTTTTTGGCGGAAACGCGAGGAGTGAAGTTGTGTGATTTGTTTTATTTTGTCTATTTAGTGTTTCTTCGGGTTTAAATGTGTAATAATGGTGGTTTATTAACTGCGAAAGTGCACAAATGTGGGAAAATGAAACAAAGCTGCTGGACGTAACTTCTCGGGATCCTCCAAAAAGTCCATTGAAATTTTTTTAGCATTTTATAGAGATTATATTTCATCCCATATCATCTCATTTCATATCATTTAATTTCATCCCAGTTGATTAATGTCTCAAATTAATCATTTTCATTTCATTTCACTCCATAATATCACTTTTCATATATAAAGGGTGATTTTTTAGCTATTATCTTTTTGGCAACACTGATTTTGAAAGCTCACGCATGTTTTGTGTTTTGTGTTATTGTCAAACATCTTCAGTTTGGTATATAATTTAACCATGAATCGTCTTACAAACGAACAACGCTTACAATTTATTAAATTTTATTACCAAATGCGTGCTCTGTTAAGAAAGTTCATCTCGCGTGGTTCTTCCATTTTATGGTCAGTTTAATCGACCCACTGAAGCGGCTATTCGGGCTATTGTGACTAAATTTCGCATCAAATTTACATTGTTGGACATTAAACCACCATCACGCTTACGTACAGTGCGAACTGAAGAAAATACCGTAGCTGTATCGGCCAGTGTTAGCGATGACCATCAATTATCGATTCGGCGACGTTCGCAGCAATTGGGCCTCTGTTACTCAACAACGTGGAAAATTTTGTGAAAGGATTTAGGTGTGAAGCCTTTCAAAATACAGCTGGTGCAAGAATTGAAGCCGAAAGACCTACCACAACGCAGAATTTTTGGTGAATGGGCTCTTGAAAAGTTGACGGAAGATCCAGTTTTTTATTTCACGTTTGGAACCGGTCAATTGGTCGCCTAGATCGTGCGATTTAACGCCTTTAGACTATTTTTTGTGGGGCTATGTTAAGGCTCATGTCTATGCTGACAATCTCGCTTCGATCAACGCATGGGAAGACAACATTGAAGCATTTATTCGTGAGATACCAGCCGAAATGGTGGAAAGAGTATGCCAAAATTGGACTAAGCGGATGGACCGTTTGAGGCACAGCCGTGGTCAACATTTTTATGAAATAATCTTCAAACATTAAATTATACGGACCGTACTATCGATTCAAATAAAGATTTCATGATTTTTTCTGAATTTTATGTTTTTTTTTTAAATCATTTCCTATAGCTATTAAAAAATCACCCTTTATATGAATATAAATTAAAATAAGATATGACTTAAAGGTCTCAGTTACCAGGTCATAAAATCCCTAAAAAAAAACGGTTGTGAGCAGTTGTGCACCCACTACTAAAAATTTTGATTTAAGGAGTTTGTGCTATATACTTTAATCTGTCGAATTACGAGAAATAGCAAAAATGGTCAAACTTACAACGGAGCTCATACAAAACTCTATGCAATATATGAATCCTTGTAGGGACCGAGAACTGGATCTTAGAGGTTATTTTTCATAGATTGTTTACGGTAGAAATACAAAAGATGCGCCAAAGTTGACAAGAAATTACGATGTTTTGAAATTACCTGTTTTAAAAATGTTTCAGGTTATAAGATTCCACAAATCGAAAATCTGGGTGCTACGCTCGATCAATTTGATACGATAGACTTCTCGGACAACGATATCAGAAAGCTTGACGGTTTTCCACTGCTAAAAAGGTTGAAATGTATTCTGTTGAATAATAACAGGATCGTGTAAGTAAATATGGCATTGGTTCTTTTTAAATGTATTTGTCGCTAATGACGGATTAACCACCAGGTCGAGTAGACTTGAGTTTAACGTGAGAAGAAAACTGGCCCAGTTTTTTACAGAATGTTAATGAAACAAATAAAAAAACATACTACCTAAGTGTTAAATTCGAACAACCAATTCAACATTTAAATATGTCATTCCTTGATTAAATATCTATTGCTCAATAGCCTATAGCCTATTGGCAGTAAAGGTGTAAATTCACCAATGCTCGTCTTCCATGTAACTTCTAAGAGATTAAATTGTTTTATCTTGTTAGAATAGGGCATTTTAGATAGAGAATATTTAAAACCAAAAACCCAAGAAACTTCCAATACAGATTTAGAGTTATTCTGCACATAGTGCTGCTTGTATTATAGAAGACGTCTAGTTTTGTAATATAGGTGCACAACATTTGTGACCTACAGTTACAGCTAACAACAATATATGTATTAAGGACTCCTCAATATAAATATACTCATATATGTAAGATTGCTACATTTTCTAGTAGCCTAGATAGATGCTAGTAGCTTTGAGGCGCTATACTACTATCACTGGATAGGTTTGTGAGTTCATGGGGCTCAGCCTGGTGAGTTTGCTAACTTTCAAACTCAGTTGACTACAAGATATTTTAAAGAAACTCATGTATGATTCAGATAATAATTGGTTTTTTTTTTCAGGAGGATAGGAGAGAATTTGGAACATTATATACCAAATTTAGAGTCTGTGATTTTAACAAACAACAATATCTCAGAACTTGGTGATTTGGATCCATTAAGTACATTACCAAAGCTGCGAACATTATCACTCATGCATAATCCAGTTGCCAACAAAAACCATTATAGGTTGGTAAATGTTTTTTATTTAACACTCTTATATCCCGGACATTTTGCCTATTTCTGGGCAATTGCTGAGGCCTTTGGTTGTTTTGTAGCACCAGTGTTTTGTCGAAATCCACACTGTTCAATTCTGAACCGTATGAGACTATCAGGTAACTATAACTGTAACTATAACTGTAACTATAATTGAGACCTTAGAACATATATCTCAAGATGGGTGGCGCATTTATGTTGTAGATGTCTATGAGCTCCAGTAACCACTTAACACCAGGTAGGCTGTGAGCTCGTCCACTCATCTAAGCAATAAAAAAAAAAAAGGAATACAACAAAGAGAGAAAGACTGATAATTTTAAAAGCCTCCTGTGGAGTACTACCCTCACTGAGCTGGGCCCCCTAATACCAGACGAGCTCATTTGATTTAGAACAGGAAATGGATATTCAGATTGTCGACAATCTTATTCCCATGCATTGTTAGGGGATCTATGGAGAGACTTTCTTTCATTTCATATTCTGCATGATGTTCCAGTGCTATTTAGAATTGTTTGTGATGATCCCAACATTTCTTTATTATCATCACACTGACCACTCACTGGAGTAGAGTTCATTCATATTACTAAGAATCACTTACTATATTTATTCATAGTGCATTTCAAGATTTTGTTGCCCCATCCCTGTTTTGCGAATTAACTACATGATGTTTGGCTACAACATGTCTAGTTTTTTAGCAGTAATAGTTTACAGTGCCTGAGTTCTGGTAACCTTTAAGTCTTTTTTTACTCAATATGGTTTGCGTGTTTAAACAAATTAGTAGTAAAGTGCTTAAATATTCTAGTCTATATATCACATGTTATTGTAATTGCAGGGCATATGTGGCATTCAAAATGCCAGAGCTAAGATTATTGGACTTCAGGAAGATTAAACAAAAAGAGAGAGATGAAGCTAATGCATTGTTCAAGAGTAGAAAAGGGAAAGAAATACAGAGGGAGATTGCTAAAAAAGCAAAGACATTTGTACCTGGTGGAAATATGCCTGATCCTAAAGTTACAAGTAAGCTATTGTTGTTAATTTGAATAGATACATTAATAAATACTGGAAACACTAATCAATTATTACCACAAATAAGTTGATGGTGTTTTATTAACAAAATTTTTAATCATCTATCATATCAGCTTAATAAAAAAAGATCATATTAATTAAAGTTAATTGCATACCACTAAGCCTTACGCTCTCCATATCCATTTCGTCAGTCGCCATTCACTAATCTTAAGTTATGGCGTAAATTGGGAGAGACCTATGTCCTTCAGTGGACATCTGCAGGCTGATGATGATGATTTAATTTTGCTTCAAAGATTCAAATTCAATGTGAATTTCATTCAATTCAAGCCCTTTTTTTTAATTATCTATTTCAGATCTTACACCTCAAGAAATCCATAAGATCCGAGAAGCAATCAAGAATGCATCATCCCTACAGGAGGTCGAACGTCTGACAAGAATGTTGCAGTCTGGTCAGATTCCAGGGCAAAAACCTTTACAGCCTGTGACACAAACAAATGGTCAACGTAAGTATGATTTTTAAACTTTTGTATCATTAAGTTAAGACTAGCAATATATTGCTTTAACTTTAGTTATTGCTATTAAAGAGGTATTTGTATTAAATTTCTCTACTAAATATCTGGCACAAATACATGATAATATGTATTATTAATATATCTTAATGACATTTTTCATTTACATCATATTTTATATATGTTTATAACATTTGACAAAAAAAGTTAATTAAATAAAACAAAGAAGTTTGAAACTCAAATTTTACCAATCTCTTTAGGCCTTACTAACCGCAGTCCGGATCGAAGATGGAACGAAGTTGGTGAGGACATTAGAGAAATATATCAATCACAATTACTGCATCTATAGTCTTGTTATTATTAAAGAGCAAAAGTTTTTTTCATTTCAGCAGTTCAACAAGACAGCCACACTGCATTTAATTTCAAAATTAGAATTGTGTATTGTTATTTATCAAATTGGACTATGTATTAAAAAGAATATTCATAGAATTTAATTTGATCAAACAGCAAAGGACGAGTGATATAACTAGAAGAGGAATCTTTAGTTGATTTTATTAGTAAAATATTCTAATAGTAATCAAACTATGTTTGGAACTCGTGGGTCTACAAAAGGAGTTTTGTTCTTGTGTACTGTACTTTGCACGGGGATTAGTTTGACGAATTGTTTGATGAATGAATAATTGGAATTAAGTCAAATACGTTATTTTTGGTTTTGTTTCATACATAATGTGTTTTCAGAAATTATTTCTGCTATGTACCAGACATTTCTAGAATGATCTCCCCTCCCTAGTGCGTTCCGACTGCAATGACATGTCTTTCTTCATATGAGGTATAACAGTACTGAGCGGTAGGTAGCAAGCAGCTTGACTGTACCCCTATTGCTGTTGTCCGTAAGCGATAGTAACCACTCACTATGATCGCCCGTTGGGGTTCGAAGAGAAAAGTTTATAGAATATAGACACTATTTAATAATATTTTGTGTGATTTCAGAAGATGAAGATGAGGAAATGGACACGGATCAAGCAAACGGACAGTAGTTAAGTCAACAAAATACATTCTTTAAATATGCGCATTTCACTAGCTGTAAGAGCAGATACATTACTTTGTGAGAATAAAAAAAATGAAAGAGTTTTACTATACTTTTATATTTTAAGCTGAAAGGAAACTTGAAACTACCAAACTTGGCTAAGAAGACAGATACTACACAAGTCTTCAAAAGAACAGATACAATACAGTTTCAATCATGGCGAAAGTTGATTAAAGACATTCATTCGTTTATATTAACTATGCTACGTTCTTTTTTCAAATAAAATTACTTTATAATATATTAATTTTTCATTTTGTCCTTAACGTTAAATGATCACATAAATTCTTTAGCTTTCAAAATCAATAAATCGTCGTCACCCGCGTCCAAATAAACCGTGTAAATAACGGGTAAAATGATTTCTTTTCCCATAACTTCTTTGATGGTCGGTCTTTTGTTTGGCAATATTGACAGCATCGAATCAATAAGGTCTTGCATCCCTCTGTCGTATAAAAACAAGTCGATAGGGTGGACGCTACCACTTGTGATTGCTTTGACTAGACCAACGAGAGTCTGGAAATAAGAGATGTATTTTTTTACTGATGGTAGGACGTTTTGTGAGTCCGCACGTGTAGGTACCACCGCCCTGTCTATTTCTGCCGTGAAGCAAGCAGTAATGCGTTTCGGTTTGAAAGGTGGGGCAGCCGTTGTAACTATACTGAGACCTTAGAACTCATATCTCCAGGTGGGTAGCGGCATTTACGTTGTAGATGTCTATGGGTTCCGTTAATCACTAAATAACCACTGAACATTAGGTGGGCCGTGAGCTCGTCCACCCATCTAAGCAATAAAAAAAAATACAGTAATTGTAGTGTTATTTTTTTAAATTGGTATTCGAGGATTTGCTCACTAAGCATCTCTAAAAATACAAATAGACTATGTTTTCGATGCTATATTGAAAATAGTTGCAGTACCTCCGATTCAAAAGCACGTTTATGTGTACACATTTCGTAAAGCAAACAGCCGAGCGCCCAAATGTCGCTTTTCGTGTCATAAGGTTGACCTTCGCATAGTTCCGGCGCCAAGTAGTAAGGTGTTCCGATGACTGTTGAAGTCTTCTTGGCACTAAAATTACCATCAATAAGCTGTAGTGATGTAACTACTTAATTCTAATATTTTTGAACTTGATCCATATTTAATTCCTTTTCACGTTTTTATTAGTTTGATCGGTTATCTATATAATCGAATCTTTCAACTTAATTTTCATCAACTTGAAGACGCTTCATTAACTTTCACAGCTATCAAGGACCAATCACAATACATAGTTTCATTACTTTAACTTAGTATTCTGATCACGAGGATAGAGGGCTTTCTAATGAACGTGTTTTTTATTATTATTCAGAATTGTTAATGCGTGACATTAATTTTATACTATTATTGTCCACTATTTTGAATCTGTTGTTTTTATTTTACATCCATAATGATATTGAAATCATAGAAATAAACAAGAATTAAGTAATTAATTACCTTGCTAACATTTTCGAAATTCCAAAGTCGCCTATTTTAACTATTATACCATATTTTCCAGTCAGTAAAATATTTTCTGCTTTCAAATCTCGGTGAATGATGTCCAAATTGTGAATGTAACTTACGCCTAAGAGTATTTGGCAAAAGTAGAACAGAATTTCCTGTAACACGATAATGTGCATTAATTATAGCAGTCGTTCTTCGGAGTTTGGGGTTTTTTGTTTGAACCAGTGATGAGGGGTTTTCAACTTTAATTAATTAATTACTTTTTAATTAAGAGTATTGCTGCTAGATTAACAAATATCTAGGCAATTTTAAATACTCATACAGGAAATACCTCTTGTTTGATGACTTGCGGGCACCGAAGGTACATGAACTCAGCTAAATTTCCACAAGTTGCATATTCCATTGATATCATTACGTAATCCTCTGCGTAAAAGCACTGGTAGAAACTAATGATGTTGGGATGTTTCATAGTAGATAAAATTCTAACTTCGTTTGCGATGTCCTGTGAATTTCAATGGATGTACGCACGTATTTAAAGACAGCTAAGCTGTGCCATATGCTGTCTAATGGCATTTAAAAAATCTTTTAAAAAGGCTAACGAATCTAATATAATATTTGTCTCAGTTTAGGCAGCGGCTTGGCTCTGCCCCTGGCATTGCTGAAGTCCATGGGCGACGGTAACCACTCACCATCAGGTGGGCCGTATGCCCGTCTGCCTACAAAGGGAATAAAAAAAAAAAAAAGTTATATTCTAAGGTTACATTTTTTTTTATTGGCTAGATGGGTGGACGAGCTCACAGCCCACCTGGTGTTAAATGGTTACTGGAGCCCATAGACATCCACAACGTAAATGCGCCACCCATCTTGAGATATAAGTTCTAAGGTCTCAAGTATAGTTACAACGGCTGCCCCACCCTTCAAACCGGAACGCATTACTGCTTCACGGCAGAAATAGGCAGGGTGGTGGTACCCACCCGTGAGGACTCACAAGAGGTCCTACCACCAGTAATTACGCAAAATATAATTTTGCGGGTTTAATTTTATATAATTATGTAATGGATTAGTACCTAAATGTTAAACGTCTTCTATTTATCATATCCAATTATATTACATTACCTGTTCATGTTGTTGTATTTTGGCGTTCAGTTGAATATCTTTTACAATAATTAATAAATGGTTTTCATGATTCTCGCACAAGTACACATTTCTGAAAACAAATTGTTAAATAGTTTAAGCATTAAATGAACAATTATAGCTATTCAAAAATATAATAAATAGCGTTCTTCGGGAAAGTTCTAATAATTTTAACAATACCTTATACGCATCCGTATCTGATCACGCCAGTTATTTCATTTATTTATCTACTACTTTCCTGGTAAAGGTCGATTTATACGATCGTAATTTGTATAAAATGTTTTTAAAGATTTATTGTACACATACCCGTAAGTTCCTTTGCCTATTGTCTTCAATATTGACAATTTTTGATTTGTAAAACGATTCTGTAGATCCATTTCCACCCACTAGCAATCATATTTTAACTATGTCAATTAGTAACTTAGTCGCGTTTTAGTATTAACACGTTCGTTCTAATTTACATTAAGTATGTATTTAACACGCCCAAGTCAATGTTTGACATATTCTACCCACATTTTTCGAAAAAACTATAATTTTTATTTAACACTAGCAACCCGCCTTCGCTTCGCTTCGGAAACATTAAATTTTATTATTGATAGCGGAGCCCCGCGATGCTACCCGCGGTTATTATCGTACCGCGGATGAGGCCTCGGGGCGAAACTAGACTAAAAAAACCTAGTAGCCTAAGTTACTCCTTATATCATCAGCTACCTATCAGTGAAAGTCCCGTTAAAATCGGTCCAGCCGTTCCAGAGATTAGCCGGAACAAACAGATAGAAAGACAGAGAAAAATTGTAAAAAAATGTTATGTTGCTGTATGTACCGTATATTCATATGCATGTAGTAAAAAGCGGTTATTTTAATATTACAAACCGACACTCTAATTTTATTTATATGTTTAGATATAAAGTCTTCGTAATCGCTCCACTTTGTGTAAGGTCCACCCCCGTCATACTGTTGTATATCTACGTATGAGAGTAGGACACGTCGGCCTATTTGTGCCAATAAAATATAATAAATTGGTTCGTATATAAATACATATCAAATAAAAACTTACTTTAATAGGAGAACTGGAGTTTTCCTGTTTATGAAAAGCGCAGTAAAAGTAATACAAAAACTAGTTAAAATTTTGCTTTGTGGCCGTACTATAATTTCTACTTTGAAAACTGAAATTGCATCGGAAATAAACAAAGTTATCGATTTATACAAGCAAAGTTTAATTTGTTTATAATATATACGACTTACTAGTTTAAATTAATAGATATGATCTGAGCGTTGCGTGTTGCACAGATGGAAACGAAATATTATGAAAAAAGGAAAATATATTTTCAAATACCAAGGAGGATACATTAATCCCATAGAGGCAGCGTCATAAGAGTGTTAAACTCTGTCAGACTCTGTTAAAGGCTGTTAATCTTCAAATGTTTATCAATATTCTATGTTCGCCATGAATTGTATGAAATCTTGAGTACGTTTATCCTCTTTTTTTTGGATTAATTTATTAATTTTAACGTAATATTACAACTGAGTGATTTTTGTAGTCGTCGTGGCCTAACGGATAAGACGTCCGGTGCATTCGTGTTGAAGCGATGCACCGGTGTTCGAATCCCGCAGGCGGGTACCAATTTTTCTAATGAAATACGTACTCAACAAATGTTCACGATTGACTTCCACGGTGAAGGAATAACATCGTGTAATAAAAATGAAACCCGCAAAATTATAATTTGCGTAATTACTGGTGGTAGGACCTCTTGTGAGTCCGCGCGGGT